AAGGTCATTTTAAATACTTATTTTAAAACCAAAGAGGCCCTGAGTTTCTAACTTCTTTGGAAGCAAGACCAAGACATCCACTTGTCTGTACTGTTACCTATTTCATTTATGCAGAATGAGATATTTGCTATTTCAGTCAAGAGACCAAAATATATAAGTGGTTTGAGACATCTGAAATAATAAAAACCAAATTACATCAGATATATCATCCACCCACACCCCAGTACATTCTGCCACTAGAAATCAATCATTTAATAAGTTTTACAGACGGCAGCAACTTTTTCAATTCCTTGGCAAAATCTCAAGTACAAAGATTCACCATATAACAGAGGCACAACTCCTTTGGTTCCTGCAGAGTTTGTCCTAACGGTCTGTATCTCTCTGTACCCACTATTCTGACTTTTGGAGCTCCAGTCTTCTCTTCTACATCTGCACAGGTCACTCATGCCAGGAATAAAAATAATTCTGGAAGGGAAGAAGATTAAAGTGGATAATCCTACTCTCAGAGGACAGAACATACACAAGAAAATTGAGTGGCCATGGTCCTTATGCCTGAGTCCAGGAACATTCCTCTGCAACTCTCTTGGCAGAGGGCATTAAGAAAAGGAACCTTGTTAGGCACTGGGAAGAAAGGCTTGTAATAAAGCAGCTCTATCCCATTCTCCTTCACCTGCCAAGTGTTTTTCTGGCACATTCAAAAATAAAATGTCCAAACCTAGTTCAAACCAGAATGCTTCATCCTGAAAGTATTCCTTATTAATAATCCTTATGGTATAATAATATGCATAATTACTTATGCACATGAGTAGCTTTAGAAGTTTAAAAAAATGTTAGGAGTCCGGCTCTTTCACTGTAGCCCTGCCTCACCACCTGACTGGTGCAGGAATAAATCTTGCCTGAGCATTTGACCTCACAAATCATCTGTCTCCACTGCTATATTAAATTATCTTCTCCCAATGAACCTCGCTCTGAAGGGCTCATGGCTTGATATACCTCCTGTAGCTACTAAAAAAAGTCAGGTTGTGTCACACCTCCTTCCTTTCCTGCCTTCATCTGCACTTGGAGATGCTTACTCTGAAAGGTAATATTCTTATTGCAGTTTTTCCCTTCAGGCAATAAAGGACTATTACAGCAAGTTAGTCTAGTCTGCAAAAGTACCAATTTTATACAAAACTGTAAGGATATTTTCCTTTCACAGCAGAAAGACATTTTTGTGCAACTGACATGTAGCTCCATCTTTTGGATCAGTTGTGATTTTGTCCATGAACCTATAATCAAGCCCACATCCATATTCTCCATATTTTTATACTATGGAAACAAGATGTCATGTCAGACTCCTAGAATTTCCATCCCAGATCATTTAGATGAAAGTCTACTCAAGATTGAGTAGATTGAACTCATCTGACAAGATACTGTCAAGACTATTTCTTCTATTTCTACACAACTATTAGTAAATTGCTATCCTGTCCCACCACCCTGTCTTAAGGAAATACTTTACTTTTGCCCCTACTAATTCTCTCACAAGAAGTAGCACTAAGCATGATTTAGAAAATAAAATTCTACTGTGCAAGGACTGAAACTCTTTGCAAACTATTTTCAGTTATAAACAGAAGCCAGTGAAACTTTTGTCAAGCAGAAGAATAGTCTGTACAGCAGTTGGCACTATTGAGAATTTTATACGTTAAAAGAGGAGGAAACATTTAGGGTTTTTCTCTCCTCACCCCCATTATTTTTTTTAATAGCATAGTATTAGTGTCAGGAGAAAAAAATCTGTCCAGTTCTTACCTTGTTACATAGAAGCTTGACAGCACTGAGTTTGTTAAAAAGGATTTAAGCCATTTATGTTGAAGACTGATACATGATTTGCTAATCAAGCTCTTTACACACACAACTCAGAAGTTATCTGAAAGTAATATACACTGTTTACTATAGACCTGTTTACCTTCACACCTAATCCCTAAACAGACACCATAGTACAACAACAGAGCAGGAAGATGTTATGTAATTTGGTCTCTCCATTTTGATCTTTTAGATGCCCTAAAAACATGGATATTTGTATAAGACTGCTCTTCATGATTTAAGTCATTTAAAGGATCCTGAAGGTAAAGGTTTAGTGCAGAGAAACTGATTGCACATCCACAGAACAACTATTTCACTTCTAGTCACAGTCCTCCATCTATCTCCTTTGGCTTCCTTTCTGTCCTCTCTCTGCTCCCCAGGTTACGCACCAGGTATCCCCAAGATGCTATCACCCATCCACATAGGCAAGACATGCCAACCATTTACTTCTTCAAATACAAGCTTCAAGCGCTAGAGAATGAGATACTTCTATATGATGTTGAACCACAGTGGTAACCATATCAAGATAAGCATGAATTTTTCAAGCCAGACAGAAACCCAACTGAGAGACTGCACTTGCAAACACATGACCCACTACTGGTTCCTCAAGACCCAACAGAAGGCATTGGACCAGTCTTCATCATGCCATTTCATTTTAACAAGTCTCTGTGGGGAAACAGAGGCAGAACAATTCTCAGTTTGAAATACAGCCTTTATGCACCCCTGCCACACTGTAGTATTTCCACTCCTGTAATATTTCTCAGAGAAAAAGAACAATTTTTCTTCTTGCTAAGTAAAGTAAGAGGTACATGTTTTTCCTCAATCTTTATTATGCCTAATAAAACACAGTCTGTTTATCTTGGCAGAGCATGCTTTACGGACTGCAGCGACTTCTGCAACCACAGCCCCAGTACTTAAGCCCAACACATGACCTCAGTTCCTACTGAGCACAGGGACTAGGGCCTAACAGATTCAGATATTCTGGAAAGCCAGAGATACCAAGAGATGAAGCATGCCACACTGGCCCCAGCAAACAAACCCAACATGGGTGCTTCTGCAGAGCAATTTGTGGCTGCACTGGGTGGCTACATTTAATGCCTGCTGCTGTGCGTTTCTTAGTCCCTTAAAAATTTCTGCTTTCAAAACTAAAAGTCCTCACATTTTCATTAACATGATTTTAGCAATATAAAAACTTCACTAGAGTTACCACATGAAGAACTTTAGAAAAAATAAACAATTTCTCTTAATAATTCAAACAAACAAGAAAAATGTGTTAAGCAATCAAAGTACTTGTGTCTGACCTGCAAAGCCTGAAGGTTTTTTTTGGGTTGCTCTGCTGCCCTACTAGCTTTAACCAGTCAGCAATTCAGCCTCAGGGAAGATGCTCTTTTAGCAATGAAAAATGACCATGGGTTCAAAGGATTATCAAAACATGCTAAGAGTCAATAAAAAGGTTCTGTATAAGTCATTCTGAAAGCATTTAAGGCAGTACAGCATTTATAACTCTGTCAACCTATCAAATGGAAACTTATCAGACTAGCAAAAAAGACAGTAATTCCTCTGTGCTTTATGCTGTTTTCACGTATCTTTAACCCTTCATCCTCCCTTCCTTATTGCTGTTAACTGGCTCCTGGGAATTTCTAGCCTGGAGTACTATCATCATAAATGCAAAAGACAGACATTCAAATGACTTTTATTCCCAGCTTTATTTTTTATTTTATTTTTGGCTTTCTTGACCTTCCAGCAAGTTATTTTACTATGAAAATCTCATTAAAGTCTATTAAACTTCAAATGGAAGATAGCAAGGAGGATACAATCCATTTTATAGGTATTAATAACCATACTAGCTCCTGTATCAAAACACCAATGGCAGTGATAGCTTTTTTTTTCCATTATGGAGCATATTTTCTCCTTTAGTTAAGCAAGGGGGCTCCCTTAGATTATTAGTCATTTTTTAATGTGTAAAATGAATCTACAATGATTCCACTGAGCCAAGGAGTCACAGTGCTATGAAAAAAGATCTTAGCATCAAAAAAAAACAAACACAACCAGACATTGTCATATTGAGAAGTGAGCTACTTATCACGTGGTCTGATCCACCGCAAAAACAAACCAGATAAAATTCTTGCTATTATTCCCAAGCCACAGTTCCACCTCTGGAAAACCTCTAGAAGGAGTAATTCTGCTCTCAAAGTTAACAAAGAGAACCCTTCTGACCCGCTTTATGGGTGTAGGTCAGTCAGATGTTCCTCCCATATGCCAGTTATCTCAGGAGTTTCTACTGCAATGCAACAATTTCCAATTCCTTTTCACATGAAATCATTTTGAAACAGCAAACTTGCTGTGGGAGTCCTTGAAGTCTTGCTTTTCCTTTCCAAATCAAAGCTTCATCTGGGACACTTTTTTGACTCACTGTTCTGAGGAAAGTCAGTATGGAGAAGGTCCAAAAGGCAATACTGGAATTCTGGGACCATATGCGGTAGGAAAGGCACTGTCCTGTGTAATACCAACACGTTACAGAGAAAAAGGAAATACCTTCAGTGCCATCAACATAAGGCACTTTATCTACCACCAAATTAAAATTACACACAAATAATAATTTGTGTACCCACTTTCAGAGAACAAATACAAGCTATGCCTACACTAGTAAGGAAAAGGTGACACATCCTGTTTTGCGTACTTGAGGACAAATGGCTAAGTGCTGCTTGCTTTCACACAGTTAAACTATACTCCCTTTTCAGTAGAGTGGCTTTGTCAGTAGGGTAGCAGCATAGTTTATTAATGTAGACATCGCCCTAAAGGCCAGAACATCAGTAGAGCACATATTGTAATACACATTGCACATGTCAGGAAGAGTGACATTGGCAAGGTCAGGGTTGCAGAATACAGGGACACTCCATTTCTAACAACGTAGAATTTCCAATTGGAAAACATTTTGATAAAAGTGACAAAAGCTACAAATTCTTTAACTGTTTTAATGGAATATATCTCTGAGAAGATGCTCAATCATTTACTGAAAAGACTACTCTTCAACTCTTTAAATAGCCAACTATTTTCAAATTTCAATCTAAAAATCAAAGAGCAAGACTATGTTCAGTGAGCCCGGGTGAAAGAAGTGACCCGTTATAAAATCTTCCCAATACCAAAAAAATTACTCAAGGCTAAGTAACATGGCTCTTTTATTGGTTTATGAGAATGAAACTCAGGTAATGCAGTAATGATCAAAGGTTATATAGACAAGACGAACTACAATTTGCATGTGTCAAAGACTTCATTTTGACCAAGAGTTTATACTTCAAGTGGCAAGTTTAAGAAGTCACATGTACAGTACATGTGCCATTTATATAAAAATGTCATTGTCATGGGAGCAACAAAGCAGAGATAGTGTTCCATTAACAGGCATAGAAAGTTATCCATGCATTTGCAGTCAAAAGTCAAAGACAAATTTTTCTAGAAATACAAAGAGGAGGAAGGTGTTAAGTGTTCCAACAGCAGAGAGCCTCCAAAGTTATTTATTTTATGTTTAATACAGCAATGTGATATATAGTGCAATTTTTACAAATGAAAGCTATAAATGTACTCCTGATAGCTATGAGCCATGTACTAAAGTACATGGGCTAGAGTACGTTCTTCCAGCTAAAGCTGGGATCTGTAGATCCTGGTTTTCCCACCACCACCTTGTTACTAGTGTTATCAATCATATATCTGGGGCTAATCAGGCAACACAGACTGAGCAGGTCACATGGTATAATTAAGGCAACTGACAGCACCAGTACTAAGAAACAAAGACAGGATCAATGAATTTCAAATACATCAGGCTTTGGTTCAAAGTTTCAAAGGGGGGGAGGGAGACACCTTCTTCAAACAGTCTTAGCAAAATGGTGTAATCTACAAACAACAATATAACATCTTCAGAAATAATACTACACATGAAACAAGAAAAAAAAACATCAAGCTTTTGTGGCTTACATTGAAAAAAAGAAGATTAATTGATCAAATCAGCTAATGAAAAAAACATTCTGATGAGCTATGCTCCTCTGATTCAGAACCAAGGAAAAAAACTTCAAAAGAATTTCACTGTGGAAGAAACAGCGTATTCAGAGCAGTCAGGAACTAAAATCAAGAACACCCAAGGTACTCTGCATCCATGAGACTAGATGCTTTTATTTTGCCTTCTTTTCCCTGAAGGAAGACAAGCTATCACAAGGTTTCAGTACAAAGTCATCTTTGGTATTTTTTGATAGAAACTCCCACTATATAAAGACTTGGTTCTTGAAGACCTGTCATACCATTCTTCTGCAAAAGGTTTGCTACTTTAGGAAGAAAGGGGGAAGAGGATCGGAGAAAAGGAAAGGCTATTTTCCAAGTGCTCCACTTTCTGTATAGAGCCACCATGAAACTTGTAAGATTCCAGCTTCAGAAGAAACAGAGTTTATCCTACAGAGATGGAAGGGATTCCCCATGACATCCTCCAGCTCCACGGTCTTCTGAAGGACTTAATATTCTTCCTCAAATCTCACTTCTGAGATGGGCCTGCTATGTAAGATGCAACCACCTTAAGCAGGTATCCTGTGTTTAAAATCAAGAAAGAAAATAAAAGTCAGTAACACCATGACCCCCTGCTAATGTTAATTGGAGGATTAAATGGAGAGGGTTTTAAAAATATCTCCAAGTCTCCAAGTTTTTGTAACAGTAGAAGCCAGGAAGTATAAATGTGCTAAAATTGACCAACAAAAACCCACCACTACACAACACATGGCAAAACCATTACCTCATCCCTTCCTTCTTCATCTATGAACTCCTTAGCTGTCCTGCTGCGCTCATTATGAAACAGAACAACTTGTCTACTCCCATTTCTCAGAATTCTTTCTTTGATTTTCCAGAAACCAAGCAGTTCCGTATTCCTCTGGGGAATTTCCCAAGGGCAAACACCCTTGAAATTAAAATCTTTCATCCAGACATTCCATAACTACAGAATTAGTAATAAGAAATAGTATCACAGAATGTAGTCACACATCATGACTGGACTATTAAGACTTTAATTTGAAAACTAAAATGAAACTTAGCTGATTCACTGTGGAAGCCATACAGAGGTTTTCCGTAACAGCCAGAAGGTCACACGCAAGTGGGTGTAGCCCAGAAGCATGTAGAATCCAGAAGATGGAAACGTATTTCAAAAATGTGTACAGAGCATGTTTGACATGAAAATGCAACTACTGATGCTGTGAATCTGGTGAAATTTCCTGGCATTCTGTGGATGGCAAAGCAACTTTGATGAAAGAGAAAATAGAGGTTTATGGCATTCTAAATCTAAAAGGTTTTTATGAATGCGGTCTTTTTGGTTTAAAACATAATGGGCTTAACTAATGCCTTAAAGCCTATTTCAAGTATTGATTTTTAGGTGTTGTATCCATAAATAGCTTCAGAACAATATTCCATCTATACAAAACACGTTTCTTAATATCACTGGGAAAAAAAGTTGGAAAGTTTGAACAGACTGAATTTTTAGAAACTTGGGAAAGGTCTTATGGAAACAAAGTCACACTGCATCTTAAGAGCAGGAGAGTTTTAAGATCAGACAGTTAATCCCAGTGCAATTATTTTATATGGATAATATTTGTTGCACAGCTATAGCTGTAGCCAAGCTCAGTATTCCCTGAGGCATGTTCTAACCTAGCATTTAACACCTCCAGGAGAGCCTCCAAGAACTACACAGCATCACAGGCATTTGCAAAACCATTAGAAACAAGCAAGCCATAGCCTGTTAACACTAGTTCAGGAGAGACTGAAGAATCTTCAAAGGCAAATACAGTGCTTGCTATGCTACATGTGTGACAGATAATATATGATATTTCAAGGGATCAAGTTACAGAACCATACACTTGGAGTACCATATTTTGCACCATTCAGGAATATCATATTTTGAAGGATAGCTACTCTTTAGGAGATTTAGGAGGATACAGAAGCAGATAAATCCTTCTCCAGATAGCCAAGACACAGTAAACTGAAAAAAAAAAAAAAAAACACACTGCTGTAGACCAATATGAGAAAGGGCAGTTCCTGTTTGCTTAGATCAAGTTATCCTTTTTGAAGAACCTACAATTCAATCATTAATAGAACAAAATACATCAAAATTGATTTTTTTTTCACCAGTATGGGCACAGGATTTGCATATAGCTGCAGGTAGCTATTCTTTCAAAATAACACTTCAGAGGCAATCATTAAGAAAAAATTTGATCTATTTTGCGAAAGCCTCACTCACACCAAGACAGCTTAAAGTACTTCAGCATACATGCTTCCTCAGCATATTCTGTCCATAATTATAAGTAGGATTTCAGTGAACTGATGCTTTCACCTTATTATTAACCTTTTAAACAGAAACATATTTTATTTAGAACCCCCTTCTCAAGTCAGGTGGCAATTAAATTTCATAAACACAGGCCACAACAGTTGAGGCCATTACTGAGTTTAAAAATAAATCCCAGTAAATTAAAAAAAAAAAAAAAGACTAAGAACTAGAGAACTCCTAGACATTGTCTGTATAGATATCTGCCTCTGAAGCCAACACTGAGTGAAAATAAACCTCTGACTGATAAGGATGCTGGTGAAATAGATTAGATAAGCCACTTGACCTGAAAGACTGCATTGGCCACCGTCTCCAATGCAGAAAGCTTAGAAAAATGGTCATGACTGAACTGCTGATAGTTTAGTGGAAACTCAAAAAGAGTCCCTATGTAAGGAGCATTAGAAAATAAAAAGAAGACCACCACAGTGAAGTTCATCTTCCCCTTTTAGTACCAAACATACTGAAACATTCACACAGGGGTAAGGGAAATTTTGATTAAGAAAAGATGGTAAAAAGCAACCCCTTCTGTCTAGACATTTTAATTTGTTGACCTTATCTTGCAAGAAAGATCATTACGTGAATGTCTTATTAATCTGGTACTTAGATGAAACATTATAAGCTTATAAAAACATTAACTGCATTTCACTGAAATGTTTATGTAGTATAGGATGACAATATCTAAGTTTCCTGAAAGCTCAATAAAAATCATTTAGCTTAGAAGGGGAAAATGAGTTTTATCCATAGCACATTAGGCAGCACCAGGTCTGTGCTTGTGACTCATAGTTACTTTCTGCAGCAAGCATCAAATCGTCCTTGCTCAAATCAGCAGCACTTGCAAAAGCAGGAAAGTGACAGTGTTTTTCTACCTCCTCCTTACTTGGACATGATTTCTGGTTACAAGAGGACAGAGGAACATCAGTGCTTGTCCCCATCATGAGTGGGTGCCACGCTAAAGCTCACTGACGTGGCTAGGGTGAACATGACCGAAGGCAGTAAATCTCAGCAATGCTTGGGTTTCTGCTAACAGCAGTGAGGGGACAGGGTGGGAGAGTAGGAGGAATTGTCCCTCTGAGGAGGTACAGAGGAAGTAGGCAGAACAGCTACCAAGAATAACTGTGTATGTTTCACCACCTGGTCTTCAGGACTCTGCAGGTCACAGGATAGACAACAATAAATGGAGAAATATTGTTTGGCAGGGTCATACTGGCCAATGAAATCTTGAAAGAGAAAAACAGAGTCTGAGGCCTCACTTATATTACTTCTGTGTACTGCACACACATCCTGCAGCTTGGTAGTGCTATTTCATGCTGCTTTCCCAGGGGTCTGACTTGCTGATTGATTTTCTACCACATTAATCGCCCCCAGATTATCAAAAAGTTACTTACACAACCATTCATCATCTGGGTTTGTTATACTAGACTGGGCTGTTTGAAACAAAGAGGTAGCAATACAGTTTCAAGACTTCAAAAACTAGATTGTCCTTCTCTTGCTTGAAGGTCACAAAAATAAATTTGGTTCAGGAAAGTCATTATTGGGCATCCTTGTCAATTCCTAGATAAACACCTGAGCTTCAGAACTCTCAACATATAAGCACACTAAAACTTAAAAGGATTTGAAGTGCTTAATTCCCCTTGGTGATCATTTAATTTTTTTTTTTTTTAAATTGATTTTTTTTTTTAATGCATTTAAAATTAGTACCTGCTAGGGGAAAAGACCTGGAATCAGACAACAACAGTTTGAATATGCTTCCCATAAAACCCTTTAACAAAGGTAACATAGTAAATTTGAGAAGTGTGCAAGCATCCCTATTTGCCTTATAGTATATAAGATATCTTAAGTACTACGTTTTTGTCAGGAAAATTGTTTGCAAATGCCAAGCCTGTTAAACAGACAGTATTTACCTTAACAAGCACAGCTTTAATAAAATGTACGTAACAGAAGATCAAGAGGGACAGAACTACAAACAGGTTTAAATAGAGTTTGCCATGGATAAGTCAAAGAGAGGTAGAGGTGATGTATCCTAGGAAATGCAATAAGCAGCACTTACGCACAAATTCTCTGGCCTGAGAGCACCAATTTCTTTGGATTACGCTGCAAGAACCACCCTGCAATAGTAGCCTAGCTGAGTAAAATCATATCATCCCTCAGATCAGTCATTTTTCATGGTCAGGATGCTGCAGTCTGGCAACACCTTTTTGAAGAAAACATCAATCCTACTCTTGCTTCAGAAAGCAAAGCATAAAAGCATCCAGTAATATTGTATCAAGCCTTAAAAAAAAAAAAAAAAAAAAGGAAAGCCAAGCCTGTTGCCATTTGCCTTTGGGTTAGCTTTAGGATAGCTTTCTCTCTAGACAATGCGTTGGGATGTCCTACAAGAACTAAGAAATGCAAAGATGTGGATGCAGCCACAGTCAGAGGCCCCAAGCCACAGATTGCTGAAAGCAATTGGGAGAGAGGGAGCCTCACTTAATTAAGCCTCACTTAATGTCTGCTTGTGTTCATATTCTTTCACTGAACATCAAGTACTGACCGTTCTCCAGTCCATTAGAAGTCAGGCCCACTAACATGGGACACGTACACCTCTGACCTCATCTTCCATTTCTTTATTCAAATCCTCTATGTCATCAAGCATGCCAAAATATGATCTCTCAAAGTAGCATATAAGGAAGGTTAATGTTTTATTGCTTTAACATAAGATTTCCCAGATAAAATATTTTGAATCTCATTCTTTTCTTGCTCGTCTCACCTGCAACCTTAATATTGTATACCACAGGGTAAGTATATTTCATTTTATTTAAACTTCCTAGATATAAAATTATATATATGAAAATTGGCTATTATAATAACCACTTTTTTTTTTTTTAAGTGGTTTAACAAGCAGAAGAGCTTGTTTAACTCTCTAAGGGTCATCACCATGGAGTAATTATTGTCCTCAAGGATTTGATCATTTACACAAAACTAGCCTATACCTCCAGGCAAGGTAAGCAAGTCACTTTAAATGATGGTTGTTTCAGAAATGGATTCTCAAGAGCCAAAGAAAAGAGAGGCCTTCAAAGGACCTGGTGTTTTGAAGAAAAAAGCCTCCTTTTCCCTCCCCCTCTGAATATATTTATACATTTGGACTAGGAACCTTCAGAGATGAGTGTTGTTTTTTTTTTTGCAAAAAGATTGAACTGGAAAATGTTAAAGCCTTCTCTTGGGCAGCTTAAGTTACACATACATTTCAAGAGCTAGTCATGCATTCCTAACTTAAGTGTAGGAGTCCCAGCAGAGGAATCCCAGCTGCAGCCAAGCCCCAGAGATTTGAGATGTATCACTTTGTTTGCTAATAAACTAACTCCCAGGAGAAGGCTAAGTTTAGGGTTTATGTAAAGCACAGACTGTTTTCATAACAAGCTAGGAAAAGTTTTTGCTCACTCTACGAGAAGATAATTTAGGAAAAAAATCATACCCATCAAGGATGTATGTAAATATGTGTCAGAAAGAAAGTTAAAAATAGTTCATAGGTAATTTCCTCCGTATTAGCATGTCTAGTGGCTCATGACATAAAATTGGCTACACATCCTGAGCACATCTAGTATCAAATCTAAATTTCCAGACCAAAAGGTAAATGGATTCTGTTACCCAATACAGTTTAGTCTCAGTAAAAACTGTCTACCAATGTATTTTTATACCCTGTAACACCTCAAACAGACAAGGACTTCTTGAGCAAACATATCTAGAGATAGCATATGCAGCTTCTTCTTTGAATATATTTATTACTGCATAGACAGGTCTTGAACTGGCTGCATTGTCCTCCCTTCAACATAAGTTGTTTGGATTTTAGCAAGTTATCCAAAGTAAAATAATAAAAAAAAATAAAAAGCAACAAGATTAAATGCAACAATAAAGCAACATTAGCTCAGATTACTCAGGATAAGCAACAGAAAACCATCTCTTGCCAGAACCTCTGCAGATCTGTCAGTTATATATTTCCAAATGAAAATTGTCTGTTGGAAAAAATTACACAGAAGAAACTACCTCAGTTTGGAAGGGACCACGTCAGGTCCCCAAACTGAAGGAATTGGAAAGAAGAATCCCTTCCTTCCAAGAGAGTCCATCCGTCAGGTTTTGGGCTTGAGTGCTGTCGCCTTGTCTTACATCACCCCTGCTCTTACGGCGTTGATGGACTGTAAACCCTGTCCAGGCATCTCTCCTTGTGAGCGAAGATGTCGGATTTTCTTTTGCACCTATATCAAGAGAAGGAGGGATGGTCTTAGCAACACCTTCCATCCCTAAGTTTCAGTCGCTTCCCCTCTCCCATATCAGAGGAGCAACTGCCGTATCTCTAGCAAAAGAAGAGCAAGGGAGATTATTGAAGGGATGGCTGCTGAGCTTGAGCAACACTGAGCCACAAAGACAATTCTGCCCACATATACAGAGCACGTGGGCAAGACCTTCTGTCCTTTAACATTCTACCTATTACAGCTGTGTTGCTGACCCCTTCAGTATACCCTTCAAATTTCTAAGAGTTTGGAAGAGAAAAAGAAGGAAAATTTGTCAGATGCTCCCAAAAATATCACTGGCCATTTAGGAGAAAATATATCTCCATCCTCACTCCAGGATGCCAAGCAGACAGCTACAGCAGAGCTCAACATATGAGAACCTCAGAAAAGCACCTTCCCAAACAGCAGGCTACAAGTTGTGCTAAAGCCTGCTTTGCTACCTTTCTTCAATAATCAGGTAAATAAGGTATCAGTGATTTTCCTCATAACCTCAAATAATCAGAATCTATAAAGTCAGATGTTCAGAAACTGTCATATCAAAAAGTCACTTTTAGTTCATATTATGATTCATACATGATTCATGTTCATACATGAGCATACAGTTCATATCATGTTCATATATGGTATGAACTTTGCTATCTGTTAAATTTCTTCATTAACGAGTCAACAGTCAGTAGCAAAAGGGATTGCTGAGCTCACCTAAAGGAAAGCAGCAAACAGATTTGAAGTTGCTTCTGAAGCAGAAGCAGCTCAGACTGTTTTAAAATTAATTATTTAAAACAAACAAACAAACACACAGCCAATAACTTCAAGTTGAGAAAGCCACCTCCCCTTCCCACTTTTGCCAATCAGCTCTCTTGAATTCAATGCAAATATATATATTTTAAACAATATAGCAGGCAAAAAGCTCACTACTAAAAAAAAAAAAAGGTAAAACATTCAGAGGATTAAACAGTATTTTTCAAAAGTTTTAGTGAAAGAAGAACATGCCAGATTCCCATAGTTACCTACACTTATGATTACCTTGTAATACAAAAACATTTGGTTTAACGTTATTAAGAAAACAATTTAAAAGAAAGCCTTCCAGTGTTCTCCAAATGAAATGAAGAACGCAATAGTTATTTAAGGTGGTGTGTTTTGTGTTTTTTTTCCCCCTCCCCTGGACACTTGTCAAGAATGCTCTTTTAGTTCCTTCTGATAGAAAAGAATCAGATTTTTCAGCCAGGTCCTGATGGTATCAATCCTCCCTTCTTCCAACAAAACACTGCCTAGAGGAATGTCTGTGAAAACACAAAGCCTTGTATAAGTCTACTAGTTTTATCCCAAACATATTTAAAACTTTTCCAGATTCCAATAGAAAATACCAGCCTCTGTGTTAACCTACAGTCTTTAGATCAAATTAATAGTGTTATTGATAGACAGTAGGCTACATTTTCCAAGACTCTGCAGTTTCAGCAAACAGTAAGAATAACCTCCAGGCAACATGGATTTTGAAATTTCTCTCAATTATTTCCACTTCTAAGTAATTCATTTTAAACTTATATTACTGAAAAACCTCAAAGTACTCAAGAGAAGTCTGACTAAGCCTCCAGTCTTGCATCAGATATTAGCTCATGAAGACAGATAGTATTAAAAACAGTAATGAAAAATGCAAGTATTACACTTATAGTTACAGGCCACAAGTACATTTTCTTTCCTCAGCTGCATGCATTAACTATGAAACTCAGTTTGAAATCAATTAAAATATCATTTAATAATTTAAAAAAGTAGCCAGTGAAAAATCAAATGCTGACAAACACGCCAGTGTTCCCCAGTGCAGACCAAACTCTGCCCTCTAGGTTTACCCATTATATAACTTGGCTTGTTTATATGATCACACAATGAATGATGAAAGACAATATGCATCTGCTGTAGGGAAGAAGTTTTTATTGGTCGTGCTTTTTGTTCATTTCTAATTTGGAATATAAAAGCTGATACCACTTCCTCATTCAGGGTTAAATCATTGTCTAACCAGTGCTACAGCAAAAATGGTTTATGTACTTCAAGGAGAGAAGTACTTCATTTACCAAACTCACCCAGCTATCCAAGAAGAAATGTTACCTAATTATAGCCATCCCTTTGACTAACACTTCAGTATTTTCACTATCTCACTTCTCATCCCAAAATGTCATCCATGATCTCCCACCTTTTTCTGAGCTCATCTAATCATTTCTCCTACTCTTCTGCATGTATTAGCCCCCCCCCAACATTCACCCATTATTTTTGCCACCTGCTACTTCATCTTCACTATTTAAGTTTCTTTCCTAAAATATCATATTATGCAGAGAAACATGACAGCAAAGCAAAAAACAAGTAACTATTTGAGGACCACAGCCACTGGTGACAGATGCAGGAGGAAACTGTTCTTGCCCTTGCTGCTTTGTGCTTTCAGCAGAGACTTGTTAGCTCTCTTCCAAAAACCCTACTGGAAGCTTCACTATTCGAGTGAAGCTGCAGTTTCATAGGTAAGGTAGATGTACATGCAGGCTTTACCAGAGTATAATAATTAATGGAGTAGTTGTTGAGTAACAAGGAAGGCGGGAATGGTGATTTTACTGGCCCAGCAGTAAGTAAATTTAGCAATGAGGTTGACTTGACACATAAAAAACACAGAGTTCAGACCTCATAACTGAGCTACACCCACTGCCAAAAAGAAGGGACACTGACCTGGAGAGGACAAGCTCATAAAGCAAAGTCACTTTGCAAGTAAGAATTTGAGCATCACTAGATTACTGAAAGCAAAATTGTAATATTAGTTATGCAAGACAAAAAAAAAAAAAAAAAAAAAAAAAAAAACACAAACAATGTATAGAAATGAAAAAGAGGTTTTACGGTTTTACGTGGCCTAGTGGAACAAATCAGCACTTTCAACAGTGCAGATTACTTTTATTTCAGGTGTTGCTTACATCAGGAGTTTCTGGTCTGTCACAGAGAGAAGACTAGAGTACTGATGAATAAATCTTATTTTCCCTATGTGGAATAGTACTACGGAAAAATATGGATTTCTTGTTATCCTAATATACACTAATGGCACTATGCTAAAATCAAGCATTTGACGAATAGCTAACAGAGGCCAAAATATTTCCAGTCAGTGGTACACAGAAAGATTTTGACAATATTAATCTATTATTTTTTATTCACAGGCAGTGGGGCACTGGGCCAGATCCTCTACTCCCATAAGTTTCAGTAGTGTTGTGGCCAACTACTGCTCTGTGCCATAAAAGTTTCAAGTCTGATGGGTGGTAGTAAATTAATTACAAGCAGGACAATATTTTTCATGACCTAACAGTCACATTTGTAATAAAGCACAAAGGACATCAGCACTTATTCACTGTAGATGGATACTCATGCAATGGAGGACTGCAAGTGCCTCAGTGTCTCAAAGCTTGTGGACCAAATGGAGATTTATCACCATATCACAGCCCACATGGTCAAGGAAATAAAGATCTATTTATGTACCCTTTTTCTGCTGATGTTTCCTATTCCTCTGTTCAAAAGCAAACATATTTTTGAGGTCACATATCTACTCCTTCACATCTCATTCTCATGCTCCACACTGCATATTTTACTTGTTAAAGGACCTATCCAATGCCCAGCAGAGCCAATGTTGGTTTGATTCCTAAAGCTGATAAACATTAAGCCTCAACAGCATGCAGGGTCCCCATGTCTGTAAGACTATGAGCTACCTACAGCAGGAGCCAAGAAGTTTAGATGTTCCCACTCCTCCTAATTTACAACAGACTTAACATCAGACTCTCTTTGTAGTTCTCTTAATACTGCAAAGTTAGCCTAACAGATTTGGCAGGACTACCATGTTAAGAGCTATCCCTGGACTCTAAGTGAGACTCAGGCTCTCATCCTGGTTCTAGCTTTGTTCCAAAGATGGTTTCCTGGCTCAGTTAAAAGCAACACCTTCATTTCACACGTCCAGCTTCGAGAGGTTTTAGACAGAGATTAACATGTAGAACATTTCCTTGCAGCTTAAGCTTTAGTTCTGCAAAAGGAACCCATAAGCTTTTAAGCATCCCTATAGCAGTCAACAATATTATTTACTTACATAAGAGTATATCTACATACAAGTATTTACAGAATTCAACAGCTATTTACAACATTTTTGTTGATGTACTCACTGGTTAAATTCTTATCTGCTCAGAACTAAGGAACTATTTAGTTACTTAATTCTCTGCTTGAAACATAGCCGTGTAACCTGCAGGCCTCCACTAAAATAATAATAAAAACCAAACTCCTGTAATTTGTGCATGTCAGGAAAATTATGCTGAGCAACATTAAGCCAAAGATCCTTTAAAGATAAAGAAAAAAAGTTAGGCTGGATTTCTTAAATTATCCTGTATATCTGATGAGAAAGCATACCCTTAGAGCAAAGGCAAAAGTTTACATAAAAGACTTTTTGTCTGTCTAATGTAATAACTCCCTCAAGCGCTTTGAAACAAGGAGATTTCACCCACAGATAGTTAGTCTAGGGTTCATGATATACTTGTTTTGCACAAATCACAATGTTTGACTTCAATCAAGCTAAGTGAATGCTTGTGTCCTGTAAGACAGGTAATCACAGTTAGAGCACTTAATGCTGTATAAGTAACAGTTAAAACAATGTCTACTGAAAGCAAATGTAGGTTTCAGAAAGTAAGAGGCATCTTTATGTTCTAACATTCCTTTTTTTCCCCTTAATAGAGAGAATGAACTCATTTAAAATTTTCTGTTTACACTTATAGCACAGAAGCCTAGCAGAGCACTTCACATGGACTTGAGATTTAGATCCTCTCAGACTAGATGCTGCTCTCCTAAGCTGCAAAGAAATCACTATCTCCCTGAACTCTGGGATCTCTACTTGGAAAACAGTGTTTTATAAAGACAGAAAATATAACTCTGAGAACTAGTGACAGAGAAGTATGTAATAATTCAGCAATATTTTCATGTATAAATAATTCCTTAATTTTTTTAAAAGCACTAGCCATGTGCACTAGATACACTTTAAATTTTTATTGATTTTGAAATAGCTACCCAACTCCATTGCTTGTATTTCAGTCTTGTCAGACCCTGATGAAATGAGACTTGGTCTCCACTTGGCTGTGACATTTCAGCATGTACAAGAACCCTAATCCAAATGCAGAGTTGTTATCCTTTTAAAGGATAACTTGCCAGAGTTTCCCTGTAACTCATAACACCACCTACATTCAAAGTCCATTTCCCCTTCTGCTTTCCAGATCCCAGAAACTATGGCCCTTCTAATATTAGGTGATAGGGACAACTATCTCCCAAGACAGATTTACTTCATATGTACCACAGAGTACACAGACATTTTTAAACCTAACTGGAGCTTTAGCACAAAGCTACACAGTACCAAAGAAGGAATGTATTTCTGGATGTGTTGAAAAAGGTCCCTTCACAGCAGTAAAGCTTACACTTGGTAATAACTAGCTGTACAACTGAGTCTCTAAAGCAATGACCTCATTCTGAAGGTCTCTGTTTTCCATTACCAGACCTGGGATCCATCCATGTCCATGAATTATATAATAAGTCTTAAAATCCTGTACTACACAACTTTAAGAAGGTACCATAAACGTTCAGTTTTTCTGACAATAGGAACAGTAGTTACAGGAGTTGTGCATCTTATTTCTCCTGTCCACAGGGACAAAACACCTGCAGACTCCAACAAGACATCTGAAATGGTCTCCCAAGATCTTGCCTTCAGCATCTGAGAGGTAACAACACACCCACGTGCACAACTGCATTTATATTAAATGCATAGAACCAACAGCCTTTAACAACAACAACAACAAAAACAGTCCTTACCGATGCAGAAATAAATCCAGAAAACTAATAGAAATACACATTGCCACATCACATAACCCTCCCTAAATCCTGAAGGGGGATAATCATTACCATGCCTCACCAAAATGGCATTACTCTCCAGAGGCACGGTACAGATGGGGGTTGTGCTGCCAGGGTCCTGCACAGGCCACTGGGGTACCCCAAGGGATGACTGCTCCTGAAAGAGCAGGAGTCCAGAGCTGTTGGCAGCTATGACAACATCCCGTGACCTAGGGAGGCTGGTCAGAGCCCCCACCCCCCCAAGGCCTGTTAGTGCTCCCAGGGCCCCAGTGCAAGCCTGAGAAAATCCAGTCCTCTCCAGGAAAAATTACCATTTAAAAACAGTTGACAACAGCCACAGAAAAATAAACCCCAAGAAGTCTGAAGTTTTCAAATAGTTTGTGGACTAAGGGCTTTTATATGCTGCAAATGGCCACTCTAGAGGTTGTTTCATATCACAAAACTGAAGTGAGAATGCTGAGCCAAAGAAAATACCTTATGTGATAAAGCTAGGACCACAGTTTGATCTACATATCTACAGACATCCTGACTAGGAGCTTTCAAACCACACACTAGCAATAATCACACACGAAGTAGTTAAGAAATGTCTTACTATTTGATCCATAATGAAGTCTACTACTGATCTGACTCTAGTATAGAAGACTGAAAACAAATTCTAATTGGTCCCCTCAGAGACAGTTATATCTGGCTGCTAAGTCAGCACAAATCTGTTGACCCCAGACATACTTAAAACAGTACAGATTTTGTTCCAGAAAACTTAAGAATCAGTAACAAGACTGTGACACTTCCAGCATGACTGTTTCCCAGTTACCACCAAGAGACTAGCAATGAGCACTCAAAAGATAAACTGAGTGATACTGTGAACTCACTCAGAGATTGTTTCACAATATGCGATCTTTGGAGAAGGAATGCTTAATCCATGAACCTTGTTAAGGGAATTAAAATATTTCTGAAGTGTTTTCCAGATGTTTTTAGTAATAAACAGAAAATCCCATATGGTTTATAAAGGGGAAAAAAAAAATGGTATGATAATGTTAATCTCCTTCATTTGAAAACAAAGAGAGAAAGCATCCAAAAAGCACCTTCATTTAAGTTTAAAAATAGATGCAAACACTAGATTGATCACTTTCAGAAGCCAGAGACTGATGACCTGGCTGCACATGAGTTCACTTATTAATAAATAAGAAATGGTCACCAAAGGTAAAATTCAGGAAAGTACAGTCCAGGAAAACCAACAGAATTCACAGATACAGGCCCAGTCCACTGAATACTTTCGGTATTTAACACTTTCAAAGGAGAAGGAGAAATGCTTGAAAATTTTGAAATTCTTTTCTTTAAGGGCTGCCACATGAAACATTTCAACTTCACGCTTTGAAGCTTCTGTATCAAGGAAAACTATTTTCTTTTTAAGGTTAAAATGATTAAGTAACCTCAAAAGAGAAGGAAATGTTATATTAGCTTGTTTGGAAGTTTTCTTCAGGCAAAATATTAGTAGCTGACACACTGACTCTAATGCTGCCCAGCTTGCCATACTCTGCCAAGAGTATATGAGAAAAAAAAGAGAAGAGCAATCATTAACAGCAGCAGCACACAGGGACTCCCACCACCCCAAGCCCTGCATATATTGTTTCTTGTCTTCATCCTTTCATGAGTCACCCTTCTGCAATAACTGAAGGGAAGTATGAGTTAACCCTACATTTCTCTGTCCCATCTAGGAAGGTGATGGATCTGATGAGAGGACTGCCTTCTTTCTTCACCTAGCTAGCACTTTGCTCTGCAAGGATTCCCATTAGAGCCTCTGGGGTCTTTTCAGAAATTAATACAGTGGGAAAGGTGGTAATCAGCCCACAACAGACTATATGCCTACAGTGATATAGTGCGATTGCAATCAGAATCATTAATAGAAAGCTTTGGAAAGGCTTGAAAGTTTTCCAAGACCTTCATAAGGCTGCAATTGGATGTAGCTCCTGGCTAGGAATGCCTATGAAGTTACACAATACCTGAGATGGCCTGTTAAAGCATGGTGAGGAACAAAGATGAAATTCATTAGCCTTCAACATACTAGACACAAGCAATCATCAGCAGACCTCTCTTTCAGAGACCTCATTCAAACCTAAGTTTCCTACTTCTCTGTTCATCTATATCAGCATTAACAAAGTTAGCCACTGACATGCATCTTTATCCTCGGTAAATAATTACAAACTTGAAATTTTGAGGAAAATCTCATAAAATACTGTTATGGAGGAAAATAATAATAATAGTAATAATAAATTAAAAAAAAAAGCCCAGCCTTCAAAAACAAGCCTTAGGAGGATCCTTGGAAGTGTTTTTATTAGCACAGATGTAGCTATGATGGAAATTATGGGTATTTGAGTGTTTTCAATACTAGAATTACAAAAGAAAACTAATTGTCTTGTACCTAACAATCCAATGGTTTAGAAAACAGGAAAGATACTTTTAAAACTGGTTTGAAATGGAATATAAGTCATATTTTTTGCAAAGGGAGGAGAAAAGGTTGTATTTCCTAAAGTCAGGTTTATTGATTAGACTTCCAAGTACATTATAAAGCTAAAAGCTGTATTCACCAGCTGCTATACATCTGCTGACTCCGTAGGTCATTTTAGATAGCATTGCTTGTATCTTTACTACAGAAGAACCCATTTTCAAGGTCACAGGAACTATTTCTGTTGAACTTTAATACTGTATCTGCACGTGCTAAATCCTGGATATTACACTATCGACTTACAGAAGAATGACTTTTTTCAGCTTGGCTACATTCTGTTCACTGAAATTTATATGCTTTGCTTCAGTGCCCTTATTGGAGCTATTCAGCAAGAAGAAAGTTCAGGACGAATTTTGGAAGCATCCACTTATACAACCAAACACAGCTTCTCCCCTCTGCATTTCAGCTGCTTTTCTGTGCCAGGTAAGGAATTACTAGAGCAGAGTTGTTCTATGACATCTCTCCTAGGCTTGGCTCCCCACTGCCCAGGGCAAGTAACAGAATAATCCTACTTGATTGTTAGCAGCTTTCTGGCCCCATGAAAACCTTTATGGGGTACACGTGCCCAGGTGCTAAAAGCTTTAACCCCTCTTGGCTAATACACTGGAGAAAATTAATAATAAAAGGACTGCCTACAGCCTTCCTCAATTTCTTATCTCTTCTGTATCTGAGTTTCTCAAGAGCCCCTTTTCCAAAGCCACCTCAAATGTGAAGAAGTATGGCTACAGCCCAGTGGTTGCAGAGCACAGAAAATGGTAGCATTTCCTGAGAACATGTAGGAAGTTCACAGGACAGGTTTATTTTGGGAAGTACCACACTCAGTACAAAACAAAAAATATTACTATACCTGAAGAACTCATGTTGCTGAATCCACCACGTTGTAGTTTCAAAGGAAAGACAAACAGACACTTGGGGAGCTGTAGCCAGTCTGAATATTCCTCCCCATACATTCAGCACTATCAGAGCAGGCACTCAAAAAGGAAGAACCACCCAACCAGAACCTAAGTAGCCCTACTCCTATGCGTTATGTCCAATTTAAACCAAAGCACCTCCATGTGTGACAGCCCTAAGGGCACCTGTAGCCTGCCATTGCCTCAGCTGGGACCCTCAGCTGCACAAGCCTGCCCACCTCCCTGGGATCCATGTAAGCTCAGACTTAGCATCCAGGCCTGACCTGTAGGTATGTCTGTCTTCTAGACCATCTTTTCTCCATCCAGTGCTGCTGATGGCCCCCTATTACAACAGTCAGCCCTATCTGGCATATAGATAAAAAATAAAGTAAATAACTAAAGAATTGTGTTCTAGCCATTAAAACTCAATATCTCTTTAATCAGCTAAAGAAAAGTATCAGTATTAATGTCACAGCTCTCTGTGAGTGCTTAGAAACTGATCAAATCAATTCTTTCTCTTTGGTGAACTACACAGAGTGACTTTTTGAGACCTTTTACTTTAATAATTCTGCTTAGACCTTCACAAGCAGGGCTGTTTTGGACTTCAGAAATAGAAACATATGCTCCTGCCTGGAGGAGGCAAGGAAAGATTAAAAACCTTGCTATGAGGAGAACTTTCAACAAAATTACGCACAGGTTTTCCTCTATTATCTGTTCCTCTCCTATGGGCTGGTACAATCTCCCATGGGCAGGTACAATCAACATTCTTCTTTTCAGCTCCACAATATAAATGATAGGGCAGAAATGGAATGTATGTTGTCTTAGAAACATTAAATTTGCTGCAGTTGCATGATCTGCCTACCACCAAACACCCCTCACCTCTTTCCTTGTCCCCTAGGTCAAGGTTGCGTTTGCATCTACCCTGTGCAGAAATTTCCCAGAGCACAATATGCTTTGTATCATTGGCTCATATATAATGTACTGCCAAATGACAGCAATTTGGCTATTTTGCCCGAAGTCAAGTTGTTTACAAAGATTGCTCTGCTTCAGAAAATTCTTGACACACCAGTTTACTATCTCATTAATGTTCCTACTCTCTTTAGAGATAATAGTCACATTAAATGCTCATTAATGTTAAAATTGAGAAGAAAAAAGAAAAAAAAAAAAACTCATTCTACATCTCTCCATTTCTCAAATAGCCCAGGACCCAAACAGATTAATTTTTATCTCATACACTTGTCAACTAATCATCTTTGGTTGAGTGGTAAAGAGAACTGAACAATATTTCTGATAAAACTTCTTAGACAGATGCGCTTTCCATTGGGAGATAAATCACAGCAATGCTTACTTTATGAAAAAGTACCTTTTTTTTAGAAAGGAGGGGAGGGTAAGATGAAAGAGAAGCAGGACAAGAAATTATAGCAATGGGAAATAATTCATGATGGTGTAACCAGTACCCATTTTCCAAGAGAACTGAGAGTACATTACATCAGAGGAGTCATAGACTTCATCCCTCAACTTTCATATAGAAGCTGGTCATTTTATTCATCCTTGGCTGATCACATGCACATATTGAGTTTTTGTTACCAAGCTATGCACAACTTACATCATAACCCTGAACAGAAACTACAGCAGGTTGTTTTGAGTCTAGAAAGGAGATCTCCTGCTGACAAAAACTACATATATCATTCATATAACTTGGTTCTGTATGCACAAGAAACTCCCTGGCCTCTTCTTCAGATGACAGCTTTGCAATCACCTCTAGCATGTAACTCATGAGTTATCACATGCCATCATTTTTTTGCCTATTGTGCACAGACAACTACTCATCCACACTATATACCGGACTCCCTGGAGGCAGTCCACCACACCAGATGTATAGGTAAAGTCAGTGTGGTCCAACAACAGTCACAGCTCTGGTCAGTGCTACAGACTGATCAGGGGGCAGATTTACAGTGGTTTGACTGACAGCCACCTTCAACAAACAGACAGAGCCTTCAGAAATTAGAAGTAAAAGACTACTGCATACTCCCACAAGCAGCTCAGCCCAAGAGCACAGGATATCACACACAGGATGGGGCCTTTGAGAAAGATGAAGATAGACCCAGAGACTTAATATCTCCTCAAACATGATCAATAGAAAAGACAGAGACGTTAATATCCTGTAACCAGAAACATCCTTTTCCCTGTACATAAAATATCCCTGGCTGATATGCTGACATTTCTTTCTGTGAAAGAAATAAATGTGTGGTTTATCATTTCAATAACACGTCAACAGTCTGAATTACCTTTCCTTATGCCTTGCAGCAAAAATCCTTCTGCCAGTAATCTGTGACTGAAGAGAAGACAGTCATGACAATCTACATGGTCATGTAACTTCTTTTGTATGCTATAGGATACTTGGTGCTATTTATCTTCAAATCTGAGGTTCCCGAACAATTACATCAACCTCAAAATGTTAAGGAACTTTCAAGGTCTTACAATTGTGAGGAAAATATCTGGAGAAAAATGAAAAAGCATGAGCATCTTTAAGCAAGTGGAAGTAATAACAAGCAAATTGCCAATTTATTGTTGCAACAACAACAACAACCACCTTCTTGTTCTTCTATTTGTCAACTTCATCACCTCATTTCCAATGTAGTGATCAATCTTTCCTAGTACACACTAAATACTATAGCAAATATTTATGTACTGGAGATCATGCTTTATGTATATCAGATTGTGAGACTAAAAATCCTTGATTCAGCATAGCACAACGGCATTTTTAACTTTATGCATGGGCAGTGAAAATTAGCCATATCTTCAAGGTATTTTGGAAATGGAGAATGATGAAGAAGTAGTAAAGACGTTTGTAGAGTTCTTAGTTGCTTTGAACAGCACTGGGTTAATAACTTTGATAAACTTTGATTCTATGGGAAAACACACCTCTCAGTTTTACATAGAACAGCATCAGGATGTCTTATGAACAAACAGACCTAAAATAGTACCTTGTCTTCCCAGAATTTTATTTTTTTATTGTCTATCAAATGGCTGCCTACATAATCAATTAGACATACAATGAGTTTTTCTTGAGATCTAAATCTGTGCAAATATAACCATGCTTCCAAACAGCATTCAAACACAGAAAACTTAAACATGCAGTATTGAGCAGTATCATGCCCTAGAGCCTACATTCCGGCGCAAAGCAGGTTAAATCCCCCATCACCTAATTGGATAGCAGGTTCATTGCTATCAAAGGACAAGGCACTGGAGTTGAGCACTGCTGGTATTCACTCATGAAAGCTTGGGGAGGAGGAAATTAGAAGAAAAGAGAGAAGGAAATAATGAAAAAGCATCATCAAATTGTATCAACAATGGTTGCCTATCACTCAGAAGCCTGCAGTTATTCAGAGCACCCTCACCATTGTGTTACTTTGCAGCAGCAACAAAAGTTATAAGCAAAGGAAACAAATTCTCCAAATCTTGAGGTGCATTTGTTGAGGTGCTCCCAAAATAAGTCCAGATGATCGTCAGCCAGGTGTAACCCATGGTCAGTGCAGTGCATCAGGGAGAAAGACACGGCCCTGTTACCCTGATAACAGATGCATGGATACTTTCACTTGTACTCCAGTTCTGGCTCTTGTTATAGAGGAAGGGCTGGTGGACATGTCATTTTATACACAGAGCATCTGCTTTGAGTCTTGTCAAGCATAGTGCATTTTATATTAGGCCACAGATACAAATAAACCAGACAGGGAGATTAGAAAGCAAGTTATCTGTTTGGCACAGATTTTCATTGGTATGAGGCCCTAAGGACCAGCAAAGGATTTCCCACAATAGGTTGCTGACAGCTTTTTTTTCTGCAGCATATTGCCCTGGCTCAATGGCACAAGGTCAGACTGAATGTCTTTTTGTGCCTTTTCCCTTCTCCTAGGGAGCAATTGCTTAGAAAAATATCCCTTTACTTGACAGGTTTGTAACACAAACAAAAAAATCCATCCTACTTGTGGTTATTGGACTGATTGCTTAAGAATCAAACAGGAGAAGACAAATAGTGTCATATTTACTGACCACCAACCATACCAATGTAAACTTAAATTCACATAAATGATAGCTGACTGAGGATAGCCTGGAACAATAACTTTTTTTTAATTTTTATTTTTTAATCTTGGAGTCATGTCACAGTAAAAATAGCAATTGATTCCTATTCCTTGCAAAAAGCAAGTTGGGATAATTAACTGTAAGAACTATACATGCACACCTGTATGCAAAATCACCGGATGATCTGCAGAGCAGCATCTACAGTAAGTGTGATGGTAAAGGAGACAGTTGCTTGGAGATTTTAAACTTGTTGACAAATTACAGCTATCTTTGTACATTCTCAAGATGAGCACTTAAAGGCTGACAGTTTTATGTATACAATAAAAGGGAATGCTGTGTAGGAGGTACTGACACACTAAAGTTAAGAAAGATAATTTTACATTAAAATAATGCCTATATACATTGCAGTCCCCTTGAGACACATCAGGAAACACAAGAAAATGCATGTTTCTAATTTAAAATCAATCTATCAGATTTATATCTGATATATAGGAGTGTCACAAAGATGCCTCCCCTAATGTTGTAGCCTTCTGTGCTGAAGAAGAGGAGCCAACCCATGCAGAGGTATACTCCATACAAGGTCTCTCCTCAGAAAACCTCAGAAAGCCATGCCCTCTATGTGGCTGTCAGTACATCTACTATCAGGACTTAAAAAAAACTTCCGGTGTTGGTACCCAAGGTCAGTATCAGAATTGGGACTTCTATATAAACACATTGTCCTGGATTTCAGCTGCATTTCAGCTTTGCTTCTCTTAATGTTTTCTTAAATTAGTAGTAAATATTCTGCAGAAAGTGCTTTGGAGACAAATACCTGACCACTATTATGTTGAGTTAAATTACCTTTGAAAGCTAGGATTTAGGTGATTTTTGACTGATTATTATTATTATTATTATTTTAAATTAGATAAATTTAAGTTCCTAGAGGAAATTTTCTGATCTATATTTTTGTTCTTAAGGTCACCATTAATGCTACTATTTCAAAAGGACAAGCCCGCAACATAGTCTATCTAGCATTTAGCTTGGTCGAATTTAAAGGAAACTAATC